GGAAGTTGTGGTAGATCTACCGAATACACAGACACAAACCCAAACAGGCAGCCAAAATGGGGAGACAAAAAAACAAACAAACAACAACAAAAAAAAACAAGCCCCAAATGAAAGGACAATAGAATTCTCCAGAAGAAGAGCTAAATGAAATGGAGATAAGAAATTTATCAGACATAGAGTTCAGAATAATGATGGCAAAGAGGCTCAATAGCATGAGAAAAGATATAGTAACTGCAGAATGACATAGCACTAATAAAGAACACAGTGGAAGGAATACACAGTAGATTAGGAGAAGTGGAGGATTGGGTCAGTGAATTAGAAGACAGGGTAGAAAAAAATCACTCAATCAGAGGAACAAAAAGAAAAAACAATTAAAAAACAGGAGGACAGCTTACGGGAGCTGTGGGGCTACATGAGACGTAACTATGTTCTCATAATAGGTGTACCAGAAAGGGAAGAAAGTGAGCAAGGGCTAGAGAACATGTTTGAAGAAACAATGGCAGAAAACTTCCCTAACCTGGTGAAGGAAAAAGTCACATAAGTTCAGAAGGTACAGAGAGTCCCAATCAAGAAGAAAACAGGACCACGCCCAGACACATCATATTAAAATGCCAAAAATTAAAGACAAAGAGAGAATCTTAAATGCAGCAGGATAAAAACAATTTTCACCTACAAAGGAGCTCCCATAAGGCTGACACCTGATTTTTAATCAGAAACTCTACAAGCCAGAAGGGAATGGCATGAAGTATTAAAGGTAATAAAAAGCAAGGATCTGAAACCAAGATTACTATATCCAGCAATGCTATAATTCAAAATAGATGGTCAAATAAAAGAGCTTCCCAGACAAAAAAATAAAAAAGGCTAACAGAGTTTATCACCACCATAGCAGCACTGCAAAAAAATACTAAAGGGACTGCTATAATAAGAAGAAGAAAGAGAGAGAGAGAGAGAGAGAGAGAGAGAGAGAGAGAGAGAGAGAGAGAGAAACAGGCATACAGAATTAAAATGGCAATAAGTAAGTACCTATAAATAATAACCTTAAATGTAAATGGATGAAATGCTCCAATCAAAAGACACAGGGTAGCTGAATGGATGAAAACACATGAATCAATTATATGCTGTTAACCAGAGACCCATCTCAGAACAAAAGACTCACACAGGATGAGAGGAAGGGATGGAAAAAATCTTCCACACAAATGAAAACAAAACAAAAGTTGGGGTAGCAATAATCATATCTGACAAAATAGACTTCAAAATGAAGGACATCACAGGAGACAGTAAAGGTCACTACAAAATACTAAAGGGATCAATCCAACACAAGGATATAACCCTGGTAAACATATATGCACCCAATAGAGGAGCATCTAAATAGGTAAAAGAGCTTCCAGAGGACTTTAACAGAGAAGTTGAAAGCAATACAGTCACAGTAGGGGACTTTAACACCCCGTTGACTTCACTGGGTGAATCTTCCAGACAAAAACTTAACAAGGAAACAGAGACTCTAAATGACGCACTGGATCAAATGGATTTGACATTTATAGAACCTTTCACCCCAAAGCAGCAGAATAGATATTCTTCTCAAGTGCACATAGGTCATTCTCAAAGACAGACCACACATTGGGACACAAAACAAGTCTCTACAAGTTCAAGAAGATTGATGTCATATCAAGCATCTTCTCAGATTACAATGGAATGAAATTACAAATAAACTACAGTAAAAACACTAAAAAACATTCAAACATATGGAGGCTAAATAGCATGTTATTAAACAATGAATGGGGTACCAATGAGATCAAGAAAGAAATAAAAAACGTCCTGGAAACAAATGAAAATGAACACACAACAGCCCAAAATCTATGGGACACAGCGAAAGGAGTCCTGAGAAGGAAGTTCATAGCACTGCAAGCATGTCAAACCCACGCCCGGCGGGCTGCATGCCTCGGCCTGAGTTTGACATGCTTGCACTACAGGCATACCTCAAAAAACAAGAAAAATTAATAAACTATTTAACCCTACAACTTAAGGAATTAAAAGAGAACAACAAGAAAAGCCCAGAGTAGTAGAAGGAAGGAAATAATAAAGATTAGAGCAGAAATAAATGACATAGAGGCTAAAAAAAAAATATACAAAAAAATCAATGAAAGCAAGAGCTGGTTCTTTGATAAGACAAAAAGATTGATGAACCGTTAGCCAGACTCATCAAGTAACAGAGAGAGGGGACCCAAGTAAATAATATCAGAAAAGAAAGTGGTGAAGTAATAAACGTCACCACAGAAATACAAAGGATTGTAAGCAAATACTATGAACAACTATATGCCAACAAGCTGGACAACCTGGGCGAAATGGACAAATTCCTAAAAAAATAATACAATATTCCAAAACTGAATAAGAATCAGAAAACCTAACTAGGCCAATAACAATTGAGGAAATACAATAAGTAATAATAATAATAATAATAATAATAATAATAATAAACTCTGAGCAAACAAAAGCTCTGGTCTGGATGGCTTTACAGGGGAGTTTTACCAAACCTTTAAAGAACAACTAACACCTATCCTCCTCAAACTATTCCAAACAATCCAAGCTGTGAGACTTCCTAGCTCTTTTTATGAGGCCAGCATTATCCTAATTCCAAAACCAGATAAAGCCACTACAAAGAAAGAGAACTACAGGCCAATATCCCTGATGAATATAGGTGCTAAAATCCTCAACAAAATATTATCAAATGGCATCCAGCAGTATATTAAAAAGGTCATACACCATGACCAAGTGGGATTTATTCCAGGGATGCAAGGCTGGTACAATATTCACAAATCAATAAGCATGATATATCACATAAACAAATTGAAAGACAAAAATTACATGGTCATATCAATAGACGCAGAAAAAGCATTAGACAAAATACAACACCCATTTTTTATAAAACCTCTTAGCAAAGTGGGAAGAGAGGTATCATATCTCCACATAATAAAGGCCATAAATGATAAGCCTACCGCCAACATCATACTTAATGGGCAAAAACTAAAGCCATTTCCTCTAAGAACAGGAACAAGACGGGGATGTCTGCTTTCACCACTCTTATTCAATATAGTACCAGAAGTCCTAGCCACAGCGATCAGACAAGAAGAAGATACAGAAGGCATCCAAATTGGAAAGGAAGAAGTAAAACTCTCATTATTCACAGATGACATGATATTGTACATAGAAAACCCTAAAGACTCCACCAAAAAACTACTAGATTTAATAAAGGAATTTGGCAATGTAGCAGAATACACAATGAACACCCAGAAATCGACGGCATTTTTATACACCAATAATAAATTCTCAGAAAGAAAAACCAAAAAAATAATCCCATTTACCACTGCAACAAAAAAATTAGATGCTTAGGAATAAACTTAACCAAGGAGGTAAAAGACTTGTATGCAGAAAACTAGAGGACAGTGGAAAAGAGATACAGGAAGATAGAAACAAGTGGAAGAATATATCATGTTCATGGATTGGTAGAATTAACATCATTAAAATGTTCATACTGCTCAAAGCAATCTGCAGATCCAATGCAATCCTTATTAAAATACCAACGGCATATTTCACAGATCTAGAGCAAATACTCCAAAAATTGACATAGAACCAAAAAAGACCCCAAATAGCTGCGGCAACCTTGAGAAAGAAGAACAGAGTTGGAGGAATCACAATACCAGATATCAAGTTATACTACAAAGCCAGTGTACTCAAAACAGCCTGGTACTGGCACAAGAACAGGCATATCGATCAATGGAACAGAACAGAGACCCCAGAAATCGACCCAAAACATTGCACGCACTGGTCATGCGGTTTGGACCCTGATCTTCCATATGGCAGGCCGGGCCATTTAGACGCCTGACCTTTTTCTCCCTGAAGATAACATCTAGGCCTCAGTTGTATTTCAGCTCCAGGCTCAGAAAAGCAGCAAAACCAGACAAGTGCCACCCTGGCTGCCTCAGGACCAGCTGCAGTGACTAATGACCCTGCCCTGGCACCAGCCAATCAGTGGAGACCATGACCCTCAAAGGGCACACCTGGACAGCTGATGAATATTCTATTGAGACCCTCCCCTGAGACCCCCCCCCCCTACGATTTCCACCTGCAAGAGAGAGACATACTCTCAGGACGAGGGACCCAGCGTGCACAGTGCTCTCCATCCAAGCAGCAGGCCCTGCCATTCCCTTCCCTTCTCCTTCCCACACAGGCATGACTCCCCGAACCCTAAGGGACCCCATGAGACTTGCAACCAGGGGAGCACTGGGCAGCGGCCGTTCGCCCTGGGCTAACCCTGAACCTGTCTCCAAGGCCCCTTTTCTCTGACTTTCCTGAGCCAGAGCAGCCCGGCCGAGGCTCCCCTGTGGCTTCCTCTATGCCCTTCCTTGTGTCACTGTCCTAAGTGTGTTACTGCCGTCATCATGGACCCAGTACCCTTTGGCTCAGTGCTGGGTGGCCCTTCCCTTTGGACATCCCCATCCCTAACCCCTTTTCCTTAAATAAATTCAATTTTTCTTTATTCACTGTCTGAGATGGCTATTTAGCCTGCCCTGCATCGCCAACTTTAACCTTCCAATATCTTTTTATAATAATCTGCTAAGTAATGTGTTTCTCTGTGTTCTGCGAGCCGCTCTAGCAAACCAAGGAAGGAGTCGTGGGAACCTCCAATCTATAGCCGGCAGGTCAGAAGCCCAGGGGACCACCTGGACTTGCAATTGGCCTCTGAAGGTGAGGGCGCGCAGAGAGTGAAGCTGAACTGCGAGGCATCCAGCTGGTATCAGAGAATTGCTTTGGAGGTGTGTGTGTGCGGGGGGAACACACCCACACATCAGAATTGGATGCAGAATCTGAATGTGTGTCTGGGAACCCCATCTGGCCAGAAGGAGACCCCAACATCCAGCACGTGTGCAATACTCATGCCCCCTTCTGTCACCAGAGCTCCTGCGAAAGCTGTTCCCAGCCGGGCGCCCCAGCTCGCTGCCTACCTGGCCAGAGGTCGGCGGCGTGAGGGTGCATTCTGGAGAAGGCCTGTCCGGGAGCGGGCCTTGCTGCTGACTGCAGTCCAGCTGGATCAGGTGGCGGCACTCAGGGTGGCAGGTGAATTTACAGTCTGGAGGGAAAACACAGGGGGTTACAGGTCAGGCTTCCTGAGAAAAACCTTGGGGGACTGCATCCAGCTCCAAGAGGGAAGGGCGTGCGAGAGAGGAGTGGAGGGTGGGAGAACACCCTGAGAATGAGGCCCGGCTCGCCGTGCCATTACAAACGGTGAACGTTAACCAGTGCTAGCCAGGCGTACCTCGGAGACGCTGCAAGTTCGGCTCCAGATCAACACAATAAAGTGAATATTGCAACAAAGCAGGTCACGCATATTGGGAGGATTACCAAAACGTGACGCAGAGACACAGAGTGGGCAGATGCTGTTGGAAAAAGGGCGCCAGTGGACTTGCTCAAGGCAGGGTTGCCGCAAAACGTCAATTTGTAAACAACACAATTTCCATGAAGAGCAACAAAGCGAAGCACAACAAAACGAAGTATGCCAACGTCTTGGCCGCTATTTCTTAGTGTGACCCTGCAATCATTATTATTGTCACTTTACAGACAAAAAACGGGGGCCTAGGGATATTAGTGACTTTCTAACATCCCTACGAATCTTTTTACGAATATACATTAATCTATACTGACCTACATTAATTTATACTAATTTACATTAATTTGGTCACCAGGGACCATGGAGTCTTGGGAAAGGGCTTAACTCTTCTGGGCCTCATTCTGCCCATCTGTGGGAATATAGATCATAGCAGCCCTGCCTGGTACACAGGATGCCTGTACAGTGGGGCCTTGACTTACGAGTTTAATTCGTTCCAAGACCAAGCTCGTTAAGGAGCTCGTTAACTCAAATTACTCTATCAACTCAATGCAAAAAATCGGCGGAGAGACAGCTGGTATCTCAAAAAACTCGTTAGTCGGGACACTCGTAAGTCAAGGTCCCACTGTAGTTTTAGGGGAGAACAGGTCTTCACGAATTAGAAGTGCGTCCAAACACCGAGGCATGTCTTCAGCAGCAGGAAAGGCTGCTACCTGTCTCTGACCTGCCCCGTCTACAAAGTGGGCACGGCTTCTCTCACCCAGCTGACGTAGCCTCCAGACCACATCCCACACCAGGTGTTTCAGGGCCGAAAGCACGTATTTCATAGAGTTCACTTCCATGGACGCAGGACTTCATGAGCCGTGGGAAAACGAGGCCCAGAGAGGTCAAGCGAGGTGCCCAATGACACACAGCACGGTGGCAGAGCTAGTTAGTAGCTTCCAGGATCTTCAAGGAAGAAGGAAGGTAAAGTTACAGGGGTGGGGGCCTGGCTGGAGGGGGCAGGGCTTGTGGTAGGCAACTCAAGTGCCTGGATTTGTTTGGATAACCTGGTCACTAGAGGGCTTCTTAAAATTTATGTTTTTAAAATTGATTTCAGAGAGGAAGGGAGAGGGAGAGAGGGATAGAAACATCAATGATGAGAGAGAATCATTGATCGGCTGCCTCCTGCACACCCCCTACTGGGGATTGAGCCCACAACCCAGGCATGTGCCCTTGGCCAGAATCGAACCTGGAACCCTTCGGTCTCCAGGCTGATGCTCTATCCACTGAGCCAAACTGGCTAGGGCTAGGGGACAACTTTTGATTCATAAGGGCTTAGGCTCCCAACACTTTTCCTTTGTTTTAGACTTTCTTTTAAAGCATCACACACACTCTATCTTGGAGTGAGGATGGGTCTGGTCTCTTCTTCCCACTCTTTAGGGGAGCTCTGGAATGAGACCCTCACACTCCCCAGCTGCCCCCTTCCCAATCACCCCCAAAGATAAGCACCTTGTTCGGGTTTGCCACTGATGGCTGCAGGGGAGCCCCCTGACAAATGCGGGGGTACGTAGAGCTTCCGGAACCCCCCAACCTGACTCAACCTTCGGAAGCTCCCTACTCCATCTGGGACGGCAGACGACGCTCTGCTCATCTCCCTCAGGCCTGAAAGCGAGGCCCCGACATCCCCCCCTTCACACCCACCGTGTCTAGGCCTCCTGATTCTCCTCCTGGAAGCTGTCCTCTCACCTGGAGCCAGAATGGGTGAAGCCAGCTCTCTAGGCGCGCACCCTCCTCCCGCCCCCCCCCCCCCGCACCCTCCCCCTGCATGCACCCTCCACCCATGCGCACCCTCCCCCTGCACGCACCCACAAGCATTTCTGGGTCCCACTGTGGGCGATCTCTGCCTGGCACAAAGATAGCAGCACCCCAGGTGCGGTGAAGGACACACGGGGATGTGCAGGCCAAGTCTCCCTCCCGCAGTGCCCAGAATCGCCAGGGCTTTGATAAGGCAGCACAGTGGCCAGAGCCGCACAGAGTGGCATTGTTCAGGCTCCGCTCCTGGGACGCACCTGTGCTGCCCTGGCCCAGCTCCAAGCATGAAGAATGCTGTGGGGTGCCCCGAAGTGGAAATGGGGAGGAGGAGGGACTGGACGCTCCCCCAGCTTTCTAGCAAACAAGCGCTGCCACCAACTCACTGACGGGAAAGCGCCTTAGGGGGGGCGGGCAGAGGTCCCCCCCCGACCCCCCCCCCTTCAGCAGCTGTGCTGTCGACACAGCCGCTCCATCTGATTCTGTTAACCTCTCCTCTCCTTCCCTCCCGCCCCCACTCCGTCTCCCTCTGACAGACACACCCTGTGCAAAAAGCACCGAACCCTCAGGAAGGCTTTGCTGTGGGGCTGGATGGAGCCAGGAAACAGGAGATGCCAGGAGGGGTGTTTCCGGATTTTAGGAAAGCCCCTTTGCACACCAAGGACTTTGGTCCGTCAGACCGTGTAACCACAGACTGGAGCAAACCCCTGCGGCACATCCGATGATCCCTGGCCCCCAGGAATGCCACCCTCGGCTTCTAGGCCCGCGGAGGTGAAGTCAGAGCCACCGTGCCTGTCTCCAGCCACAGCAGCGCCCACAGGCCCCCGCAGGAGGCTGCAGGCCTCTGTGCTGAGTGGACACCCCTGAGATTCCAACCTGCCAGGCAGGGCCGTGTCCTCCTGGGACCCAGTGCTTAAACCCCACCGGTCCTCCCCCCCAAGGCAGCTCATCGAAAGGTGCTGCTAAGCCAACCCACCCCTGGCTTCCCTGCACTGCACGGTGCTCGATCTGGGCAAGGAGAGAGACGGGACTTGGTGGTGCAGGGCCTACAGGCCCCAGAAGGGCTCAGCCTTCCCTGGGCAGCAGCACCATCGTCTCTGGCAGTAGCTGCCACGTCCTGAGCACGGACTCCCCGTGCCCTGTGCTCACGTGAGGGGGAAGATGAATGAGACAGGACGCCAGGGGCCTCAGGCTAGCCGGGCAGACGCATGCGTGCAGAGATAACTAGTGAGGGAGACGCTGAAGCAGGGCCCAGATCGAGGAGGCCTGTTCCGAGGACACAGTGCCTGCCAGCCACAGCTGTCAGGACGGCTTCACGGCACAGGAGCTCGGGGAGCTCAGGGAACGGATCAGACCCCAGGTGGCTCCCAGTCCCTCGTGGCAGGGGCCAAGAGGAGGCGGGAGCCGTGACATCGCAGAATAGATCGGACGAGGACCTCCCAACACGAGGCAGCAAAGGATTAGGAGTGCCACTCCGACGTTCTGACTGCAGTGTCTCCGGGAGAACTGGCATTTCTTACCCTGAGTCCTGCCATCTATAAAGCAGAACCACCCCTCCCTCTCACCCTTCCCTCCAGCGCAGGCCCTGTCTCCATCCCAGGGGTGTTTTGAGGAATAAACGGGCTTTCAGGTTTGGGACGAGGGGCCTGTGGAAAGAGAAGGGGCCGACTGTGAGGAGGAATAATGCAAACCACGGAGGGTCTTCTCCAGGGAAGGAGCCAGGAGGCAGGAGGGAGGGGGCTCCCAGGCTCGGTGAGCCTTCCAGCTGCGAAAACAAAGCACCATGGACAGGGCAGCTTAACTGCTGCCTCCGCTTGGAGGCTAGACGTCTGAAATCAGCTTGGCGGGGTCATGCCCCCTCCGAAACCCGCGGGGAGGCTCCTTCCTGCCCCTTCCCAGCTTCTGTGCGGGCAGCCGGTGGCACCGCGGCTCGTAGCGGCACCGCTCCAGTCTCTGCCTCCGCTGTGCGCGGCCTTCTCCCAGGCCCAGTCCTCACACGGCCGTCTTCTTAAAAGGACAACGGTCATCTTGGATTAGGGATCAGCTGCTTAACTAACTACACCTGCAGCCGCCCTCTTCCAAATAAGGTCCCGTTCTGAGGTTCTTCGGCGATCAGGATGTCAGCCTATTATGGGCTGGGGCACAATTCAACCCACAACACAGAGCCTGGGCCACACTGGGCACCCGTGCCCTTAGGCCCAAGCAGACGGGGTTTCTCACGGAACCATCTCTGGAGCCCAGCAGCCCGGACACCAGCAGCCCGGACGCCAGCAGCCCGGACACCAGCAGCCCGGAGCCCAGCAGCCTGGAGCCCAGCAGCCCGGACACCAGCAGCCTGGAGCCCAGCAGCCCGGACACCAGCAGCCCGGACACCAGCAGCCCGGAGCCCAGCAGCCTGGAGCCCAGCAGCCCGGACACCAGCAGCCTGGAGCCCAGCAGCCCGGACACCAGCAGCCCGGACACCAGCAGCCCGGACACCAGCAGCCCGGACACCAGCAGCCCGGACACCAGCAGCCCGGACCCCAGCAGCCCGGACACCAGCAGCCCGGACACCAGCAGCCCGGACACCAGCAGCCTGGACACCAGCAGCCCGGACACCAGCAGCCTGGACACCAGCAGCCCGGACACCAGCAGCCCGGACACCAGCTGCCTGGAGCCCAGCAGCCCGGACACCAGCAGCCTGGACACCAGCAGCCTGGAGCCCAGCAGCCTGGACACCAGCAGCCTGGACACCAGCAGCCCGGACACCAGCAGCAGATGGGCATAGGAGGCGGCCAGGGAGCGTGGATCTGAGGTCCGGACACCCGCCTCCTCCCCCAGCCCTGCTCCCGACATCCCCAGGCCCTGACTGTCACCATCAAAGTCTCCATCTGGAAGGAGGGGGTGAGGCCCAGAGGCCCCGGCAACCCATGCCCAGAGATGGCCCTTCTCCCACTTCAGCCCAGAGGTGAACC